GCCTTCTCCTTATCCATTAGGTCTTTTACGGCCTCTTGGCCGGGTACATTACTTGTTATGTGGTCTCTCACTTATTAGTTATTCTTTGTGTCCTGCCTGTTATATCCTAGTGTTATATAATTACTACACATTTGCACTCGGCCTTAATTCTAGTACCAGTTAACCTTTAGGTTTCTGCAGAATTAGTTTCCATGTCACTATAGGCTAAGGTCTCATACTTACTACGGGTGTACCTTAAGTTAAATCTAGTCCTCGGACTTGGAATTGTTACTGTTAATTCTTACTTTATATATTTTGATATAAACGTTATATATTTACTTTATATATTTACATGTTCAATATTAAGTTTAATATAATATCAACTTTGTTATAAGTCTATAATATAAACCGTGTTTAATATAGACTTTATATAATTACTTTATATTTGAACTTTATATATTTACATGTTCTGCAGAATTTAATCCTCAATAAACTTTAACGCCCCATACTGCCAGTATCTTTCTCCCCCTGGTCAGAAAAAAACGATTCTTCGCGGCAGGGGATCGTATTCCAGGGACTTGCCCGAAACGCTACGCGTACTAGTGGCTGTACAAGAATGTAACAACTCTTGTATATATCTCCAAAAAAAAAAAAAAAAAAAAAGCAGGCCAAGCAAAGGCAAATCCTAAAGTTTTTTTTTCAGTTATATCGAACAAAAGTTAGGGGAAAGGATAGGTCCATACAGACAGGTCAGGTCAGATAACGGATATTGACGAAGAGATGAGTAGTATTTTTATTAAATATTTTATCTCTATATTTACTAAAGAAGAACTTAACTCTATGCCTTCAGCCGAACAAGTCTATGTGGGTGGGGACGAGGACAGGTTGACTAGTCTAACAGTTACCAAGGGATGATATTATTAAATAGTAAAATTCAAACCAAACAAATCCCCAGGGCCGGATGAAGTGTTTGGCAGGGTGCTTAAAGAATGCAAAGAGGAGCTTTGCGATCCATTGTCTACCATATTTAATAAATCATTAGTCAGGCAGAGTGCCAGAGTCATGGAGGTAGCTAATGTGGTACCAATTTTTAAGAAAGGAGACAGATCACTTGCATCAAACTTTCGGCCAATCAGCCTAACGTCTAATGTGGGAAAGTTACTTGAATCGATAATTGCAAATACCATTCGTTTTCATCTTGAAAAACATAAAATTAATAAACGAGTCACAACATGGTTTTACAAATGGCCGATCATGTGTAACAAATTTGCTATCTTTATTCCAGCATAGTTGAGGCAGTTGATAGTGGTAAGGATTGTGATGTTGTGTACCTTGACTTTAGCAAAGCTTTTGATACAGTGCCACATGAAACACTGATTAAAAAGATAGAGGCTCATGGTATTGGGGGTGCTATATTAAGATGGATTAGGGCATGGCTATACCAAAAGAAATAGAGTTAGTATAAATGGGGTTAAGTCAGAGTGGGAAAATGTGTTAAATGGAGTGCCTCAAGGCTCTGTATTGGAACCTCTATTGTTTATAATATATATAAATGATTTAGATTCAGGTTTGAGTAGCAACATTTGCAAATTTGCCAATGATACACAAATCGGTAGGGAAATTAACCAGGAAGAAAACTCACTATCTCTTCAAGTTGATCTAAATAAGGGTTTGAAATGGTCAAAAGATTGGCAGATGCAGTTTAATGCCGATAAATGTAAAGTTCTGAGGCTAGGTAATGATAGAGTTACAAGATACGAGCTGGATGGTGTTGAGATTGCGAAGTCGGATTGTAAAAGGGATCTGGGTGTTATGATTAGTAAGAATTTAAAACAAAAGGATCAATGTATGAATGTTCAAAATAAGGCAAATAGGACACTGGGATTTATTAATCGAAGCGTTAGTAACAAGACACCTGGTGTTGTTCTTCAGTTATATCTTGCTCTGGTTAGGCCCCATTTAGATTATGCAGTTCAGTTTTGGTCGCCGTACTATAGAATGGATATAAATTCACTTGAACGTGTCCAGCGTAGGATGACTAAGTTAATTCCCAAAATTAGAAATCTTTCATTTGAAGAAAGATTAACAAAGCTTAAATTGAATTCACTGGAAAGGCAAAGAGTTAGGGGTGACATGATAGAGGTTTACAAGTGGATGAATGGACATAACAAAGGGGATATTAATGAAGTATTAAAAGTATGAACACAAGACAGAACGCGAAACAATAGGTACAACTTGATAACTTGATCGACTTGAGAATGGTCCAGGAAGGACCGAAACGTCGTAGTCCCTTCACCTTCTAGTGTGTGGTCTGGTCAATGGGTATAAATTGGATAAGTTTAGATTTAGGAAAGACTTGGGTAAATACTGGTTCGGTAACAGGGTTGTTGATTTGTGGAATCAATTACCACGAAACGTAGTGGAGGTGGGGTCCCTCGATTGTTTCAAGCGCGGGTTGGACAGGTATGTGAGTGGGATTGGGTGGTTATAAATAGGAGCTGCCTCGTATGGGCCAATAGGGCTTCTGCAGTTACCTATGTTCTTATGATGAAGATTAAGCCACCCAAGAGGTAGCACGGACATGAATAGCCCGTAAGTGGTAGACTCATTTGGTACAGCCATGCCCTAATCCATCTTAATATAGCACCCCCAATACCATGAACCTCTATCTTTTTAATCAGTGTTTCATGTGGCACTGTATCAAAAGCTTTGCTAAAGTCAAGGTACACAACATCACAATCCTTACCACTATCAACTGCCTCAACTATGCTGGAATAAAGATAGCAAATTTGTTACACATGATCGGCCATTTGTAAAACCATGTTGTGACTCGTTTATTAATTTATGTTTTTTCAAGATGAAGACGAGTGATGGTATTTGCAATTATCGATTCAAGAAACTTTCCAACAATAGACGTTAGGCTGATTGGCCGATAGTTTGACACAAGTGATCTATCTTCTTTTTGAAAATTGGTACCACATTAGCAACCTTCCACGAATCTGGCATTCTGACTGACCCTAATGATTTGTTAAGTATTGTAGACAACGGCTCACAAAGCTCCTCTTTGCATTCTTTAAGCACCCTGGCAAACACTTCATCCGGCCCTGGGGATTTGTTTGGCATGAGTTACACTATTTGTTTAATAACATCCTCCCTGGTAACTGCTAAACTAGTCAACCTGTCCTCTTCCCCACCCACATAGACTTGTTCGGCTGAAGGCATAGAGTTAAGTTCCTCTTTAGTAAAGAGGAACACAGTGTGGGTGGCATAGTGCACAGTGTGGGTGGCCTAGTGTAAAGTGTGGGTGGCATAGTGCACAGTGTGGGTGGCATAGTGCACAGTGTGGGTGGCATAGTGCACAGTGTGGGTGGCATAGTGCACAGTGTGGGTGGCATAGTGCACAGTGTGGGTGGCATAGTGCACAGTGTGGGTGGCATAGTGCACAGTGTGGGTGGCATAGTGCACAGTGTGGGTGGCATAGTGCACAGTGTGGGTGGCATAGTGCACAGTGTGGGTGGCACAGTGCACAGTGTGGGTGGCATAGTGCACAGTGTGGGTGGCATAGTGCACAGTGTGGGTGGCATAGTGCACAGTGTGGGTGGCATAGTGCACAGTGTGGGTGGCATAGTGCACAGTGTGGGTGGCATAGTGCACAGTGTAGGTGGCATTCCTCTGCCACCCACTATGCCTATGCCTCCACCCACTATGCCACAAGGTTCTGGCCTCCACCTTCTCACCTGCTTGTCCCAACCGTCTACCACTATATATGTGGCAGCTCATCAGATTTACATTTACCCTTTGTAAATGCACATTAATGACACTATGTACAAGTCACATCGAACACTTTATGTAGGGCAGAGGTAACTCTGTGTATCTATGTATTTACATATGTAGGTTAGCTTAGCATTTTAAAAGCATTACAATCTCCTTCTGTAGTTGATTGTTCAATAAACTCCTGAACTATATATTTAACACATCTCTAACTCTGTCCATGGAGGACAGAAGAAAATGTGTATATGCTATTTAGCATTGTAAATGTGTGGCCACGTCCGTGGTAGAAAAATAATAATAACAAAATATATGTTTACAAAAGTGAACTTCCCTAATGTAATTTTTTTGAATTCTTAGTTTGAATCTGTAACCTCGTGTTTTTGAATTGAAGTATTCATGAATTCTTCTTTGTCAGTTTTGTAGATTCCTGTAACTATTCTGAACGTAGTGATTAATGTGCCTCTTTTTCTTTTATCTTGTAGTTATTTAACACCTTTTGCCTCTCCTCGTAGCTCTCACCCAACCACTTGGGCTGGACAGTAGAGCGATGGTCTCACTTCATGCGGATCGGCGTTCAATCCCCGACCGTCCAAGTGGTTGGGCACCATTCCTTTCCCCCGTCAAATCCTTATCCTGATCCCTTGTAAGTGCTATATAATAGTAATGGCTTAGTGCTTTCTCCTGATAATTAATTACCTTACCTCCTCGTAGCTCTTGTTTGTCAGTTCCGGGAGATATTTAGTAGCATGCTTTTGTACCCTCTCCAGTTTATTGTCTTGAGATATGGGCACCATGCCAGCGCTGCATATTCCAACAATGGTCTCACAAAGGTCGTGAACAGTTCCTTGTAATGTTTCACTATCTATGTATATAAAGACCATTCTGAAAATGGGAAACTCATCATACTGTGTGGCGCTGGTGATGTTCCTTGTGTTCCGAGGGAGTGTTGACGGTGATGGAGCAGTCACCCCTGTGCTGTCTGGTGAGTTTTCTATGGTGTGCGGTGAAGGTGTGGCGCCCGGCAGGTGCTCTCTCACGCTACAGGGAGCTGCTTCTCGTTCTCTTGTGTTCAGCTGTAGTTGACACAGCAATAGACTGTATTTATTTCAAGACATAATTTCGACTAGTACACATTTTGTATAAACTATAAAAGTACATATATTTACATATAAATACACACGTATATTACAAAAATTATGTGAATAACATTGAAACATAGTTCTTACGAAATAATAGATAAGATACCAGCTATCAGTTGGTAGACGCAGTATCGAGTGGTAGGGAGGAGGAGGAACACACACCCTAGTGTTAATACAGAGCATACACCATAGAGGGGACATCAGTAAGCCTCCCTTACCTTGTGAGCCGCACAGCCTGCCTGTTGCTGCCGCACACAGGCCGCCGTGATGACCTCCACCAGGGCCACCTACACCAAGGGCACCCCAGGACGCCACGAGGAACAACCCCTGCACCTCAGGAGTGACTGCTACAATGTGAGTGCTCACCCCCCCCCCCACACACGCACCTCCGACACTAAGATTCAAAATGTTTATTTTGTGTTGACTGCTACTGTGTACTTTGCCAGCACTGTCGCCACACCTCTCCTGTCACACTGTGCTCTGACCCTGGACCTGCCGTCCTCACTGTACCTTAGTACTGTCCTCACACTGTACCTTAGTACTGTCCTCACACTGTACCTTAGTATTGTCCTCACACTGTACCTTAGTATTGTCCTCACACTGTACCTTAGTATTGTCCTCACACTGTACCTTAGTACTGTCCTTACACTGTACCTTAGTATTGTCCTCACACTGTACCTTAGTACTGTCCTTACACTGTACCTTAGTACTGTCCTTACACTGTACCTTAGTACTGTCCTCACACTGTACCTTAGTACTGTCCTCACACTGTACCTTAGTATGCTCCGCTCATCGTATCACTGTAACACTCTTACTGTATCATGTCACTGTAACCCTTCTTACTGCATCATGTCACTGTAACCCTCTTACACACACACACCACCAGGTACACACACACACCACCAGGTACACACACACACCACCAGGTACACACACACACCATCAGGTACACACACACACACACCACCAGGTACACACACACACCACCAGGTACACACACACACCACCAGGTACACACACACACACACCATCAGGTACACACACACACACACCACCAGGTACACACACACACCACCAGGTACACACACACACCATCAGGTACACACACCACCAGGTACACACACACACCACCAGGTACACACACACACCATCAGGTACACACACACACACACACACCACCAGGTACACACACACACCACCAGGTACACACACACACCATCAGGTACACACACACACCATCAGGTACACACACACACACACACACCAGGTACACACACACACACACCATCAGGTACACACACACACACACCACCAGGTACACACACACACACACCACCAGGTACACACACACACCATCAGGTACACACACACACACCACCAGGTACAGTCACACACACACCACCAGGTACACACACACACACACACCACCAGGTACACACACACCACCAGGTACACACACACACACCACCAGGTACACACACACACCACCAGGTACACACACACACACCACCAGGTACACACACACCACCAGGTACACACACACACCACCAGGTACACACACACACACCACCAGGTACACACACACACACACCACCAGGTACACACACACACACACACACCATCCACCACACACACACACCACCAGGTACACACACACACCACCAGGTACACACACACCATCAGGTACACACACCACCAGGTACACACACACACCACCAGGTACACACACACACCATCAGGTACACACACACACACACCACCAGGTACACACACACACAGGTACACACACACACCAGGTACACACACACACACCACCAGGTACACACACACACACACCACCAGGTACACACACACACACCAGGTACACACACACACCATCAGGTACACACACACACACACCACCAGGCACACACACACACACCACCAGGTACACACACCACCAGGTACACAGGTACACACACACCACACACACACACACACACACACACACCACCAGGTACACACACACACACACCAGGTACACATGTAACACACACACACACCAGGTACACACACACCAGGTACACACACAGGTACACACCACACACACACACCACCAGGTACACACACACACACCACCAGGTACACACACACCACCAGGTACACACACACACCAGGTACACACACACACACCAGGTACACACACACACAGGTACACACCCAGGTACACACACACACACACCACCAGGTACACACACACCACCAGGTACACACACACACCAGGTACACACACACCACCAGGTACACACACACACCACCAGGTACACACACACACACCAGGTACACACACACACACCAGGTACACACACACCACACACACACACACACCAGGTACACACACACCAGGTACACACACACACACACACCACCAGGTACACACACACACACACCACCAGGTACACACACACCACCAGGTACACACACACCACCAGGTACACACACACACCAGGTACACACACCAGGTACACACACACAACACCAGGTACACAACACACCAGGTACACACACCACCAGGTACACACACCACCAGGTACACACACACCACCAGGTACACACACACCACCAGGTACACACACACACACCAGGTACACACACACCACCAGGTACACACCACCAGGTACACACACACCAGGTACACACACACCACCAGGTACACTCACACACCAGGTACACACACACCAGGTACACACACACACACCACCAGGTACACACACACCACCAGGTACACACACACCACCAGGTACACACACACCACCAGGTACACACACACCACCAGGTACACACACACCACCAGGTACACACACACACACACCACCACACACACACACACCAGGTACACACACACCACCAGGTACACACACACCACCAGGTACACACACCACCAGGTACACACACCACCACACACACACACACCACCAGGTACACACACACACACCAGGTACACACACACCACCAGGTACACACACACCACCAGGTACACACACACACCAGGTACACACACACCACCCAGGTACACACACACACACACCACCAGGTACAGGTACACACACCACCAGTACACACACACACACCACCAGGTACACACACACACACCACCAGGTACACACACACACCACCAGGTACACACACACACACACCACCAGGTACACACACACACACACCAGGTACACACACACACACACCACCAGGTACAGTCACACACACACCACCAGGTACACACACACCACCAGGTACACACACACACACCACCAGGTACACACACACACACCACCAGGTACACACACACACACACCACCAGGTACACACACACACCAGGTACACACACCCACCAGGTACACACACACACCAGGTACACACACACACCAGGTACACACACCACCAGGTACACACACCACCAGGTACACACACACCCCAGGTACACACACACACACACCACCAGGTACACACACACCACCAGGTACACACACACCACCAGGTACACACACACCACCAGGTACACACACACCACCAGGTACACACACACCACCAGGTACACACACACCACCAGGTACACACACCACCAGGTACACACACCACACAGGTACACACACACACCAGGTACACACACACACACACCACCAGGTACACACACACACCAGGTACACACACACACACCACAGGTACACACACCACCAGGTACACACACACCACCAGGTACACACACACACACCAGGTACACACACACACCAGGTACACACACCACCAGGTACACACACACACCACCAGGTACACACACACACCAGGTACACTACACACCACAGGTACACACACCACCAGGTACACACACACACACCATCAGGTACACACACAGGTACACAGGTACACACACACACACCACCAGGTACACACACACACCACCAGGTACACACACACACACCAGGTACACACACACCACACACAACCCACCAGGTACACACACACCACCAGGTACACACACACCACCAGGTACACACACACACACCACCAGGTACACACACACACACCAGGTACACATGTAACACACACACACCAGGTACCAGGTACACACACACCACCAGGTACACACACACACACACACCAGGTACACACACACACACACACACCAGGTACACATGTGACACACACACCAGGTACACATGTGACACACACACACACCAGGTACACATGTGACACACACACCCACCAGGTACACACACACACACCAGGTACACACACACCACCAGGTACACACACACACACCAGGTACAGGTACACACACCACCAGGTACACACACACACCAGGTACACACACACACCACCAGGTACACACACACACCACCAGGTACACACACACAGGTACACAACACACACAGGTACACACACACACCAGGTACACATGTAACACACACACACACACCAGGTACACACACACACACACCAGGTACACACACACACACACATCACCAGGTACACACACACACACCATCAGGTGCACACACACACCACCAGGTACACACACACACACACACCACCAGGTACAGTCACACACACCAGGTACAGGTACACACACACACCACCAGGTACACACACACCACCAGGTACACACACACCACCAGGTACACTCACACCACCAGGTACACACACACCACCAGGTACACACACACACCTACCACCAGGTACACACACACACACACACCACCAGGTACACACACACACACACCACCAGGTACACACACACACCACCAGGTACACACACACACACACACCACCAGGTACACACACACACACCCATCAGGTACACACACACACACACACACCAGGTACACACACCACCAGGTACACACACACACCACCAGGTACACACACACACACCACCAGGTACAGGTACACACACCACCAGGTACACACACACACCAGGTACACACACACACACACCAGGTACACACACCACACCACACACACCACCAGGTACACACACACACACCACCAGGTACACACACACCACCAGGTACACACACACCACCAGGTACACACCACCACCAGGTACACACACACACCAGGTACACACACCACCACCAGGTACACACACACACACAACCACCAGGTACACACACACACCAGGTACACACACACACCCACCAGGTACACACACACACACCACCAGGTACACACACCACACACACCACCAGGTACACACACACACACAGGTACACACACACACCAGGTACACACACCACACACACACACACCACCAGGTACACACACACACACCAGGTACACACACACACACCACCAGGTACACACACACACACACACAC